GTCACGCACTCCGTTGCTCTTATTGGTTGTAGGTCTATCCAATTGAGTGCAGAGGCATTTTTTTTCCTGGTTCGTTCAAAACACGCCCCATAATCACAGATCTATAGAAAAGCATCAGACTCATATTCTGACTAGAATTGAGTCGGACTACGTCAGGCTAAACATTTGGTAGAATGAAGCTGAAATCAAACCCTTAAGGCTGATTTATACTTCAAAACTAGGTTGTCTGCGTAGGTGTCTCAGTGAACAAAAAGACGTTCCCGCCTCCTCTGCTGACACTCTGCTGCATCTCTATCAAATTGTAGGTGACCGCAGACAAGAGGCCGGCTTGTTTTGTTTTTATGACCGCAGTTGTGGAGAACAACTCGTGAAGTTGGACCAGCTAGAAGAGATAGGTGCGCGAGAACGCTGGGACCCTTTTTCCACCTGGATCCCCGCTCTTTTTTGCCATCATGTCCCTCCGTTGTTGGACAAACTCGCCCCCACTTCCTCCCCACCTCGGCCGTATCTAGACCCACAGCGTATAGCGCAGACCACACTTCAATACTGGGCAGAAATCAAATCAAATGTCTGCGTCAAGCTCACTGCAACACACTGCTGCAGGAGTATAACCAGCTGTTTGATTCCAAGATGACTACCCTACCCATCGGGACAGAAATGGGCATTAGCTATAATAATTGAAGGCTGTGACTTTTAAGTTTCTATCAGCTTGACAGTGTAAACAGTCTCTATGGTGGCTGTTTTGTAAAAAGCTTGTTGTAGCAAATGTCTGAACAGTTTATATGCAGGATGCATTGGGTCTGCAGAGATTTCAGCTGTCCTGTTCCTTACCCTGGACCTCTGCAAGTCCTGAATGGAATGAAGATCTATCTGCAGGCCAAATTGTTCACTGTCCAGACTTGTTCTGTTCTGTGGAAAAAAACGAACCACACAGTGACAAAAAACATCTGGAAAAAAAAAAGATGCCTCTCCACACTTAAAAACATGATAAGAAGGGGGTCCTCTAACACTTTCTGTGGGCTTCTGATGAAACGTTTTACTGTCATATTCAGAGTAATGAGAGTTTAGCCCCCCAGAGCAGCCACGTAAAGAGAAATCTATCTTCTGCCACATCTGCCATGTTGATGAATGCCACATTTTGATTACGAGCAGAGACGGATCGCAGCTCACTAAAATGCAATAAAACATTTTAATCTGGTCTTATGGCCGTTAATAGACTCAATTCAATATGAATGAGCTGCAGAGTGTGATAGAAGGTCCGCAGCATCCGCCTCATTAAGAGGGACTCCTCTTTACTCGCTGGCACCTCACTTTAAGGAGCTTTGGCTCGTGTTTAGTAAGCTGATGAATTATTCGGTGACCAGCTGGCAGATGAAGAGGCCTTCGCCTGCCGCGCGGTCGCTGTGGTACCTGACAGCGTCGAGCGTGTTGACTTTATACACCTGGGAGTGTGTGCAGCGTGAATACCACAGCTGAGGCAACGATCAGGCCTCCCTTTAGGGATGTGATGCTCAGTAGGCGCCCTCTGTGTTCTACTACCTCCGACCACGTGTGAGTACACCACCGAGGTTGAACGGATGCCTCCACTGACCTGCATAAATCCCAACCAGATCGCTTGATGTTTGGTTCTTTCACTTCTCCTTCTACTCAGACACTTCCTTACTCCAGTAGCTCAACTAGTTATGTAACTGGGAGTATATTTTTTAAGGTGCTTTCGACTAAGACCTGCAACATGACCCGTTCAACAACCTGGGATGATGAAATACTTGATGCCACACTGCAATTTTTATGACATTTTTAAATAATTCAATGTTTTTGGACATTTCTGAAAAATTTATGTTAAAGCTAGATTTCAGGGGAGTGGTGGACTAGTGGTTAGGGCATTGCGCTTGGATCCCAGTGGTTCTGGGAAGTCCACCCTGGGACCCTGAGCAAGACCCTTAAACCCCATACTGCTCCCCGGGTGCCACACATTGAAAGCCCACTGCTCCCCAAAGGGATGGGTTAAATCCAGAGAGAGAATTTCGTTGCTTTGTGCTTGTGACAAAGTAATGACAATAAAGTTGAATTCTATTTTAAAAATACTTTGAAATAAATATGAATCAGTTTACTGTACATTCAACACCAAAGATGGAGTACAAGGATGCTGATGTTACAAATTCCTGTGACGTAAATTTAGAAAAGCTTTGCTGGACCAAGATTACAATAGTGTTGCATCATTCCTCTTGTAGGAGCACTGTGGAAGTGGAAACACAACT